GAGCAACCTGGTCTGGTGGAAGGTGTCCCTGCCCATGGCAGGGGGGGTGGAACTAGATGAGCTTTAAGGTCCTTTCCAACCAAACCATTCTATGATATAAATAGGCAGAAAAAGATAAATTGTTTTACATTACCCTTTTTTTTCCCTTTGGAAGATGCCTCTGAGAACCAGAGAATGGAAGGGTAGCTCAGAATATAGTTCTCTCAAAAGAAAACAGATCAAAGTAATATTTTAAAAGTAATGTTAATTTAAGCAAATGTAGAAATTAGATATGCAATCGAGGGGGATTTTTTAATAAAATATTAAGAGCATCGGTCATAGAAATTTTATATTTAAACTTAAAATCTGTGTCTAGTTTGATGCTTCCTGGTAGTAAGCAAGAGGCAAGAAATTCAGTGTCTTAGACATCATAACACAACAGAACAAAACTGTCTCTTAAAAAGAGACACTATTAGTACTTGATGAAGTGGGGTTTTTGCATTATAAGTAAAATATTCTTTAAATGAGGAGGTGTCCATCATGCAGTGTATGTTTATCTTATTGTGGTCAATGCTTTTTGTTGTTTACAGGGCATTGCTCAGATAAACCTGACTGATGCAGAGAGTTCTGGTGAGATGCAGCTTCACTGGTATACTGTTCAGATCTTCACTGGTTCAGACCCCCAGAGAGCAAAGAACAAAAACCAGTGTGAAGAAAGTATTCCCCGGTCTTCTGGAAATGTAACTACAGTTAAAACAGTATGGCTCTGACAAAGTGACTTGTTTACTTTATTTGACCTGCTGGGTAGTTTTTTGTGATCTTATCTCTGGTGCAGTTTCTTTTCAAGGTGCTCAGAAGGTGATACCTTAATTTCGCTCTTGTGGTAAGAGCTGGATTTAAAAAGAATAATTAAAAGCTAGATCATGTCTGGACAGGTGCTTGGAGTAGTACTCTGTGTATGTTTCTGTGCACGCTTCCAGTCCAACTAACTAAAACTCATCAAAAATTTCTGCCACTGCACTCCAAGAAGTTGCCAAGAAAGGTTGTGCAATTTCCATCCTTGGAGATTTTTCAGCCCTTGACTGGGCCCTGGGCAACCTGGTGTGGTTATGAAGCTGTCCCTGCTTTGGGCAGGACATCAGACTAGGTCATGGAACACCACGTACTTTTTGATCATTAAGATTATTAAGATCCAGGACAGGGAGGTTTTTTTTGTGGGTTTCTTTGTTGATTGGTTTTGGGTTTTTTTGTTGTGTTTGGGTTTTTGTGGGTTTTTTTTAGGAACATACAGTGGCTATGTTTTTGTTTTGTTTTCTGTGAATAATATGCATTAAATACATTGGCTTGTTAAAACGGTTTTATTTGAAGTCTAGTTTACCTTTCAGGATGCAGTGACAGCCCTGTTAGCTAGGACCACCGCCCAGCTGGAAGCAGTTGAGAGAGAGCTGGCAGAAGAGAGAGTGAAACTGGAGTACACAGAGGAGGAAATCCTGGAGATGGAAAGAAAGGAAGATCAGGCAGAAGCCATATCAGAAAGGTAAAAATAGTAATTTAAATACCTCATCAAACAGCGGAGTGATATTCACACTATAAGTATAGTCTGAAATATAGCAGGAGAAACAGCAGGTCCTTGTTCTGAGATCTGCTCCCTGTTAGTGTTATGAGTATAAAATTCTGTTGTTATGCAATGATGTGCAAACAGGAGAAAACCTTATTTGAATATCTGCCTGAGTTTAGAGGATTTGGAATTTGGGAAGTGGGAAAACATTATATCAAACAGAAACTTTTCTAGGGAGGCAACTGTAATGGGTTTGCAACAGCACTGAATTAAAAAAGAAATAAAATTTTGTGGTCACATGGGAAAATGTCAAAGATATGCATTGCAATGCTTATGGAGTGAACATGCAACACAGCTCTTACTATTTCAGCGTTTATTACAGTGTTATTTCATCATTAATGATATTCCTAGTTTCCTACATGAGTTGCGTTGTTCTTTTTGCTATCGTTTTCTTAGTGTTGTTAGAAAGACCAGAACATATGCTTTAAGAAAATTAGGGAAGGTGATATTTTTTTTTCTTCACATGAAATGTATT